GATTTCCTTCTTTCTTATAGCTGAACAATATTCTGCTACATATCTATGTCACTTTCCCTTTCTTTTTTTTTTTTGGCTGCATCACAGTGTGTGAAACTTCCTTGACTAGGGATTGAACCCTTGCCCCCTACAGTGAAAGCGCAGAGTCTTAACCACTGGACCACAAGGGATGTTCCTATGTCACATTTTCTTTATCCACTCATCTGCTGACACAGATTTGTTTCTGTGTCTTGGCTATGGTGTATAATGCTACCATGGACACAAGGGTGCAGATATCTCTTGAGACACTGATTTTGTTTCCTTTGGATATATACCAAGAAGTGGGATGGCTGGATCCTATATAACAATTTTATTTTAAGTTTTTGAGGCGCTTTCAAGCTGTTTTCCACAGTGGCTGCACCAGTTTACATTCCTACCAACAGTGCACAAGCGTTCGATTAGGGGAGTGACCTGATTTGATTTGGTTTTCAAAGCTCTCGGGCTTCCCTGGGCTCAGGCGGTAAAGAATCCGCCCACCAATGCAGGGGACACAGGTGCGATCCCTGGTCTGGGAAAATCCCACATGCTGCAGAGCAACTCAGCCTGTGGACACCACAACGATTGAGCCTGTGTTCTAGAAGCCACTTCGATGACAGGCCCATGCACCGCAAATGGAAAGCAGCCCTTCCAGAAATGAAGACCCAGCACAGCTGTAAATAAATAAATATCCCTTTACCAAGACCAGTAAGTGAAAGGTTGATGGGAAACTTTCTAACAGGGGCTTCAGGACCTGGACACACTACATGGGACAATTTATTATTGATGCTGGCAAGGGACCCAGCACTCCCTAGAGAGGAGCTCTTGCCAGAGTAAGCCCACATCTGATCTAACTCCCAGTTTACAGGGAATTCCTGGCAATGAAAAGACATCTTCTTGAGTAGCACCCCCAAGAAGCCATCAGCCAAATGCAGGATGTGACCCAGTTTCTTCAAGAAATTAGTGGCATTACCAGAGGGGAAAAGGTGAAGGGATAAATTAGCAATCTGGGATTAAAACATACACCCAGCTATATATAAAATAGATAACAAGCAAGCATCTACCATATAGCACAGGGAACTATACTCAATACATTATAATAACCTATAATAGAAGGGAATATAAAAAAGAATTATATAATTTTGTAGATGTTTAATTGAATCACTGTGCTGTACATCTGAAACTAACACAACATTGTAAATCAACTATATTTCAATAAAAATTAAAAAAAAATAAGTAGCATTCAAAAGATTGGGGAATGATTACAGCTTAGAAGATTTCCCTGGTGGAGCAGTGGTAAAGAATCCACCTGCCAATGCAGGAGATGTGGGTTTGATCCCTGGGTTGGGAAGATCCCCTGGAGAAGGAAATGGCAACCCACTCCAGTATTCTTGCCTGGGAAATCCCACGGATGGAGGAGCCTGGTGGAATACTGTCCATGGGATTGCAGAGTTGGACCTGACTGAGCGACTGAATGCAGCATCCAAATGAAGGCACTGTGTGGTGAGCCTTTGAGTGCTGATTTGAGTCAATACGACCACAAAGTACATTTCTGGAACCTTCGGGGAAAGATGAACACTAACACTGCAAAAGAGCTAACTGTGATAGGCGTGAAAATGTGGGTCATGGTTGTGACTTTGTTTAAATAATTTTGTTTATTTTTGGCTGTGCTGGGTCTTTGTGCTGTGCTGTCTCTAGTTTTGGTGAGCAGGGGCTGGACTCTCTAGTTTTGGGGCTCAGACTTCTCGTTGCAGTGGCCTCCCTTGCTGTGGAGCACAGGCTCTGGGGAACTCGGGCTTCAGGAGCTGTGACTCCCGAGCTCTAGCGCTCAGGCTCAGAAGTGTGGGGCACGGGCTCAGCTGCTCGTGGGATCCTCCTGGATCGGGGATTGAACCCGTGCTTCCTGAATTGGCAGGTGGATTCTTTACCACTGAGCCACCAGGGAAACCCCATAGCTGTGACTTTTAAAAAGTGGATTTTAGGGAATTCCCTGGCGGTCGAGTTGTTAGGCCTCCAAGCTTTCAGTGCTGAGGGCATGGGTTCAGCTGGGGAACTAAGATCCTGAGAGCCACGTGACTAAAAAAAAAAAAGAATAGATTTTAAAGGGGTAGTTGTTTTAATAAGTTCGGAGCCTTTGTTGGGGATAATGAAAGTTTTTGTGTATAGTGTGATGGTTATACATTGTGAAGCTATTTAATACACTTACAAGTGGTGAAAATGATAAATGGATATATTTTACCCACTCCCCCCAAACAAACTGAAGACCACACTAACTGCAAATACTTTTACTTTGGAGTTGATAATTATTGTTAAGCCATTCTGAGTTTATGTTATTCTTTGCTTGCTACTGCAATCATCCTATTCTGTCCACTTTCATATTAATGCAGTTCAAGGTCCATCCTTCCTTAAATAAATGAGTTTGCTGGTATTTCTGGTTCCAAATTTCCCTGAATGTGAATTTTGAGTGCAAAGGAAAGCTAGTTGTTGCCTTAATTAATTAATTAGGTGGCACCTTACGGCATGTGGGAACTTAGCCCCCTGGGCCCCTTGAATTGGGAGCATGGAGTCTTAGTCATTAGACCATCAGGGACATCCCCACTGCCTTAAATAAAAAAGCAAACCTCAAACCTCATTCATCCCTTTTCATATCCTACTGACATAAAAAGTGGGTGAGTGTTCAGTCGATAAGTCGTGTCCAACTCTTTGTGACTCCATGGACTGTGGTCCACCAGGCTCTTCTGTCCAGGACATAAAAAGTAGCAATAATAATAAATCCAGGAACATCATATATATTGGCGCCTGTGAAGTTCCAGAATTTTTCATATCCCTTCTTTTAAATTAGGTAAGTCTTTTATTGTTTTCTTTCTAAATTATTTCTTTGGCTATGCCACGCGGAATGTGAGATCTTAGCTCCCTGGCCAGGGATCAAATTTGCACCCCCTACATTGGGAGCATGTTAAATTGCTTGTCTTTTAGATGCTCAACCCTCAGTGAAGGCGTCATCAACTAGAAAGTGGCAAAGTTAAGACGTGATCCCAGTCTCATCTTTCTATTTTCTATCATATCACTGTTCTGTGCTACCTCTTGTAGAACTTAAGCCAAAAAAATAAAGTGATGACATCATGAAAAATTAAAAAAAAAAAAACTTTAGCCAATGATCTATGCATTGCTGAAGCTTTCAGAGGCCTATATCTGCAAACTTTTGTCTGTTTGTGTCTGTGCCGAATGGCATGTAGAATCTTAGTATCCTGACCAGGGACTGAACCTGTTCCCCCCATCTCACCCCACCAGCAGTGGAAGGGTGGAGTCCTAACCATTGGACTGCCAGGGAAGTCTCTGCAATTTGTTTTAAAATGCCTTAAAAAAAAAAAAGAGTTGGATGGGCAGGTGGATAGAAATGTACTGATGAAGCAGGGCAACTAAGGTGGGAAAATGTAGGTGGTGTCCCATGGATGTTCCCGAATAATCCCTTCAACTTTGCTGCATGTTTGAAAATCGTCATAATAAAATGTTGCAGGAGACGGGGGACTTTCCTGGTGGCCCAGTGGTTAAGAATCTGACTTGCAATACAGGGCACTTGGGTTTGATCCCTGGTCAGGGAGATAAGATCCTACATGCCACGGGGCAACTAAGCCCGCAATGGGGCAAGTAGGCTCAACTACTGAGCCTGTGAGCCATGACTAGAGAGAAGCCCAAGTACTGCAATGAAGATCTGGTGTGCCGAAATTCAGACCCAACACAGCCATAAATATATAAATAAATGAATGTTTTAAAAGGAAAAAAAAATCATCAGGTTCAACATATTGACTTTATAGAAGAAAATAAGAAATGGAAAAAAAAATGTTGGCAGGGGGAATGTCTTTTCCTATTAGGAATGTGTATTCAATTATTTTCTGAAATTGGCTTTAAAATCATCCTAAGAGAACAGCTGATGAAATAAAATTAGCAGGAAGTTGATGGCTTATCGAATGAGGCCGGGTCATGGGCCCACTGTCCTATTTTCTCTACTACTGTTTATTTGAAAACTTCCTTACTAGATAGTTGACAAATAAAAAGATGCTTCTGGCTCCCTTGTGAAGGGAGGGAAAGGGTGGCAGGAGAGGCCAGAGGGAAGGGTAGGGTTTGTGTTTCAGCATCTGCTTTCAGTTTGGGAGGGTGCCCAGGATGGTGGGCGGTCACCTTCGGGCTGTCCCAAACGGAGGTCCCCCCCACCGCCCCAAGCACCCCCCCCCAGGCCTGCAGTCCTGCCCCCTCCCCCCACCAGCCTCACCGGAAGTGAGGCCTGGGACAGCTCCCCTCCCCCACCACCTCCACATCTGCTACTGATGTCAACAGCCAGGGTAGGCGGGGGCCATGTTTTTCAGCTCCCGCCTAGCCTCGAGGGAGGGGTGGACCCCCATCCCCACCCCTTACTCACAATGATGGACACTGTCACATTCAGACTAGGCCCTGCCCAGGGGCCAGAAACAAACTTTTATTGCGAAACAGGGACCTTCCAAGTGGCAAGGATGTCAGACCTGGCCTCTTCCCCGACACGGGGAACTGGAATCTGGCTCTTTCCACAGGGTCTAGCTGGGACTGTGACGCAGAGTCGGGGCCGTGGGTCAGTGTGTGTGCTGACGGGGGTGGGGGAGCAGGGGAGGCTAGGGCCTCCCTGGAGGCTCAGTGGGAAAGAGCCTGCCTGTCCATGCAGGAGACACGAGAGACAAGGGTTCGATCCCTGATATAAGCTGGCGCGTGCGCGTGTGTGCGTGTGCACGTGTGCTACCCTGGCCTGGGGGTCCACGTGTGCCCAAGTTTACCTGGTCCCCAGGCTTGTGTGCACAATTGCACACTGGGGTGTGTCTGTATTTGGGAGCATTTGAGGATCAGGGTACCTGCAAAGGGGATGCCCTTGAGGGCTGAAGGTGCAGAGGAGGCCGCAACTGGGGCCCCCGAGGCTGTGTTGTGTCTTAGTGGGGAGATATCCAGCAGTTCGGCTGGTGTCACACACACGTGGGCTGGCTGTGTGGTTCGATGGTTGGGGGCCTGTGGATGGTGACAGTCTTATGCCTGGATAGCAGTAGGGTCACCGAGGGACATACCTCACTGAGGATATGTGTGTGGTGACATGACCCAGCCTGGGGTCTCTGCTCCAGGCTCCTAGAGACAGTGGCACCGGTAAATTTGATGCATTCAGAGGGCACATGGGCCACAAACACTGTGGCCGTTGCCATTAGTTGTGAAGGCAGCAGCTGAACGCCCACGTGTGGGCTGTGAGTCCAGGGTGGTTGTGCTGTGTGTTGAGTTGGTGGGTTATCTGGGTACGTGGTCGTGATTTCAGACGGACTGAATTTCTGTCTATAGAAAGCAGTGTGGCTCAGTTGCCTTGTGGTTCTCGTGGGTATCTCTGGGTGCATAGTTGTGTGGGCTGATGACCCTGCGGATGTGGAGGCTGAGTATACGTGTGCGAATATACACCTACTCGGGTGTGAATGAGGCTGCCTGTGGTGTAGACGCGTGGCTCTGGAGACACAGCCGGGTCCATGCCCACCGTCGAGGCTGCCACCCTCCCAAGGCTCCCTCTGTCATCCGGTCCACACAGCGGGTGGGAGTGGGGTGCAGGTCAGCGGGGCCGGAATTGCAGCTGGAAGGCTTGGGGGATGTTGAAAAGGCCACTGATGGCTGGCTGGAGGCTCAGGGTGCCCGGCGGGCACGGGCCCTCCAGCGAGAAGGCCTGCAGGATGGCGGTGAACAGGAGGAAGAGTTCGGTCCGAGCCAGGCCCTCCCCGAGGCAGACGCGCTTACCTGGAGGGAAGAGAGAAGTGGCGCTGGGCCAGCTGTCCTCCCCGCCAGGCATATGGGGACCGGTGAGTGGGCAGGGGCGGCCCCAGAAGATACCTAAGGAGAAGGGCAGGAAAGCCTCGTGCTTCTTGAACTTCCCGTCCGCGTCCAGGAATCGGCCTGGGTTGAACTCCTCGGGCTCTTCAAAGACCGCTGGGTCATGCAGGATGGAGCCGAGAAGGGGGAAGACCTCTGTGCCCTGTGGTGGTGGTGATAGTGGCTCAGTCGTGTCCCACTCTTTGGGATTCCATAGACTGGAGCCCGCCAGGCTCCTCCTTCCATGGAATTCTCCAGGCAAGAATACTGGAGTGGCATTATCAGAGAAATGCAAATCAAAACCACAATGAGGTACCACTACACGCCAGTCAGGATGGCTGCTATCCAAAAGTCTACAAGCAATACATGCTGGAGAGGGTGTGGAGAAAAGGGAACCCTCTTACACTGTTGGTGGGAATGCAAACTAGTACAGCCGCTATGAAGAACAGTGTGGAGATTTCTTAAAAATCTGAAAATAGAACTGCCATATGACCCAGCAATCCCACTTCTGGGCATACACACCGAGGAAACCAGATCTGAAAGGGACACGTGCACCCCAATGTTCATCGCAGCACTGTTTATAATAGCTAGGACATGGAAGCAACCTAGATGCCCATCAGCAGACGAATGGATAAGGAAGCTGTGGTACATATACACTATGGAATATTACTCAGCCATTAAAAAGAATTCGTTTGAATCAGTCCTAACGAGATGGATGAAACTGGAGCCCATTATACAGAGTGAAGTAAGCCAGAAAGATAAAGACCAATACAGTATACTAATGCATATATATGGAATTTAGAAACATGGTAACAATAACCCTATATGCAAAACAGAAAAAGAGACATAGATGTACAGAACAGACTTTTGGACTCCGTGGGAGAAGGTGAGGGTGGGACGTTTTGAGAGAACAGCATCAAAACATGTATATTATCAAGGGTGAAACAGATCACCAGCCCAGGCTGGATGCATGAGACAAGTGCTCAGGGCTGGTGCACTGGGAAGACCCAGAGGGATCGGGTGGAGAGGGAGGTGGGAGGGGGGTTCAGGATGGGGAATACATGTAAATCCATGGCTTATTCATGTCAATGTATGGCAAAAACCACTACAATATTGTAAAGTAATTAGCCTCCAACTAATAACAATAAAAGAAAAAAAAAAGAACACAGGAGTGGGTTGCCGTTTCTTACTCCAAGGGAATCTTCCTGACCCAGGGATCGAACCTGGGATCGAATCTTCCTGACCCAGGGATCTCCCACACGGCAGGCAGAGTCTTTACCATCTGAGCCACCAGGAGAGATCATAACAAAGCTACAAATATCCAGACTCCCCTGGTGGCCCAGTGGCTAAGAATCTGCCTTCCAACACAGGGGACACTTGTTGGGGAACGAAGATCCCGTATGCCGAGGGGCAACTAAGCCTGTGCTCGGCTGGAGAAGCTTATGCGCCGGAACAAAGACCCAGTACAGCGCCCCCCAACCCCACCCTCCCTCCAAAATTCTGGCCCCTAAGCTCTTGGAAAACAGTGGGGACATAAAAAAATATAAAAAACACCCCAAACTACAAATACCCCTCACCCCTCAGGTTTTCAGTTCCTGAGGGCAGAGTGCAGCAGTCTGGAATGTTGGGGAAACTGACCCACAAAACATAGCGGCATCATGTTTACTGAGTACTTTTACGGATCAGGCATCTTATTTAGTATTACATATATCACCTCATATATACTATATACACATATTATACTTACTCACAAAGATACACAAACTCACTAAATCTTTTTAACAAGTCTGTAGGTGTGTGTGAGTGCTTGTATCTGACTCTTTGCAACCCCATGGACCATAGCCTGCCAGGCTCCTCTGTCCATGGGATTTTCCCGGCAAGAGTACTGGAGAGGGTTGTCATTTCCTTCTTCATTTAACAAGTCCAGGGAACAGTTATTAATATGATCTCCATTTTAAAGATGGGGGACTTCCCTGGTGGTTCAATGGTTAGGACTCTGTGCTTCAACTGCAGGGGGTGTGGGTTCGATCCTTAGTCAGGGAACTATTAATAGTTGCAAGTTGCGCAGCCAAAAAAAAAAAAAGATGGGAAAACAAAGGCTCAGAGATCTTAAGCAACTTGCTCGAGGCAACATCTGGACATGGCAATAACAGAGCTTATTATTTTCACATTTGTTATTATACCTTGAGGGTACGCTGTGATTAAGCTGTGGCTGTCCTAAGCCACTTAACTCAGAGTCCAGCTTTCTGCCTCTGTGGTCTTCTGGAGGTGAAGGGTGGGTGGGTGAGGGCTGTCCGTGAAGGCTTCCCCCACTCGGGTTTGGGGATAGGGGCAGCCCCTTCAACTGAGATCAGAGTCCCCATGTTCCCAGGACTATGGTGGAGGGTGAATGATGGTCGGGAATTTGAGGAGGGGGTGAGGGACCTCCTTTATTAGGGACACTCGCTAATGCGGCTCTGAATTGGGAAAGTTGAGTGAGCACTGAGGAGAAGGTCATACTATCGCTGTTCAAAAAAGAGATTAAAAAAAAAAGAAGAGAAAGACAGATAGCAATGGTTAAAGCATAGGCTTTGGGCTTAAATCCTACGCCTATTGCTCATAGGCTGGGTGAGTTTGGCAAATCTAACCTCTCAAGGCTGTTTCCTCATCTATAAAGTGAGCATGATAAAGCTATAGTGTTGCTCTGAAGGTTAAATAATGTAATATGTGCAAATATTATATGTGCAAATATAATAAGGTAATATGTACAAAGCATTTAGAATAATGTCTGGCACAGAGCAGATCCTTGATCACTGATGCCTGTAAATGCTGTTGCCATTATCGTAGTTGTAGTTGCAATGGTCATTGCTTTAGCAATAGTTTCTGCTGTGGGGTACGCAGGAGCCCCGCTTCCTGCACAGCTCATTTGGTGTTCCAGTGTTTTTCTTTTTGGCCATGCCATGTGGCATGCGGGACCTTACTTCCCCTACCAGGGATTGAACCTGTGCCCCCTGCATTGGAAGTTTAGGGGCCTTAACCACTGGACCACTGGGAAAGTCCCTCATTTGGTGTTTCACAAGCCTCATTTCACAGATTCCTTACAATTTCAAATTGATAATATTATTGTTTCCGATTTAGTAGAGAAGTAGATGGAGGTTCAGAGGGCGAAGTGATTTGCTCCAAGTCTCAGCTAGAAAACAGCAGGACTGGATTCTAACTGCTTTGAGTTGGATTCTACAACCAACTCAAGGAGCAGCTTGCCAGAAAGGCACTTGCGGTTTCCAGGGAGATTTCGCCCCCTGGTGGTGCTAACTGTGAGTTGCTCTCGAATGAAGGGGCAGGAACTGAGTGTGTAGGTGCGGAGGGAAGGAGAGCCTGATTGCGTTAGCAGGGAGGAGGGGAATGGGGGGAGGGGGGAAGGGAGAGGCCTCCGTTGGCCCTCAATTCTCAATTGCTTCCCTGCCTGTCACCTTATCTGATTCTCTCAGCCACAGCTGGAAGGAGGCAGAATAGCGGGGCACAGAGGAGCCTGGTGCGCTGCAGTTTGTGGGGTCGCAAAGTCGGACTCGACCAACAGCAAAGAATTAAGATCCATTGGACACATGGGCAAGCAGGCTCAGAGACAGCGTCAAAATGCAAGAGCAAATGTACACAGAAGGAAACAGAGGGGCGGAGACAAGGACAGAAAAAGAGAGGAAGATGTCACCCAGAGATGAGAGAGAGAGAGGAGGAAGATGAAGACACAGAAAAAAAGACCAAGATCCAGAGACAAAGACAGCAAGGGACTCGGACCCAAGGCTCAGGGGAGAGAAAGCCGCTGGGTCTGGCTGACCGCAAAACCTACCTGCGGAAGGGTGTACCCCCGGAAGCGGGTGGTCTTGGTGAGGGCTCGGGGTATTCCCATGGGTACCAGTGCCAGCAGCCGCTGCGCCTCATGCAGAACTGCATCAGTGTAGGGGAGGCGGGCTCGGTCCCCCAGGCTTGGCCCCTGGCCGGCCCCCAGCTCTCGCATCAGCTCCTTCTGCACTCGCTCTGCAGCAAGGAGAGGAGAGCTGGAGGTCAAAGGCTGGGCGGGGTCCTGTGATCTCCCCTTGGACGTCTCCCCTTCTTTTTAAAACATTTATTTATTTATTTAGCTGTGCTGCCCGAACCTCAGTTTCCTGACCAGGGATTGAAGCCGAGCCCTTGGCAGTGAAAGCATGGCATCCTAACCACTGGACCACCAGGGAACTCCCATCTGTTTGACCAGCTATGGTTAGGGGTGAGGCTGGCGGGCAGGGAGGGAGAGTCCTCTGTCCTGTGTGCTGGGCATCAGGTCTCTCTTCCTCCAGTTCCTGCAGCAATCCTGTGGTGGTGGTGGAGCCATTACATAGCCCCATTTCCCAGATAAGGACACTGAGGCCTGGGGAGCTGAAATCGCAGCTGACTCCATTCCACCAAGGCCACCAGGTTCCAGCTTCCCTGTCATCCCATCCCACTGGCTCGATGGCATTTGATGGAGTGGCCTGACCCTGAAATGACCCTGCAGTGCCTTGGGGCACATTCCCAGCCTTCCGTCACCAGCACAGCTTCAGGTCTTGCCTGTGCTCTGATAACCCCGGTTTGTTTTTTTATCTCCAGTTCTGACCCGGGTTGGATGCCTCCCCGTGGTGGTTCCAGGCTCCTCACTCTCAGACTGTCTCCAAATGGGGCTTCCCCAGTGGCTCGGCGGTAAAGAACCCGCCTGCCAATGTAGGAGACTCAAGTTCGGCCCCTGTGTTGGGAAGATCCCCTGGAAGAAGAAATGGCAACCTGCTCCGGTATTCTTGCCTGGGAAATTCCATGGACAGAGGAGCCTGGCGGGCTAGTCTGCAAAGAGTTGGGCATGACTGAGCAATTGAGCACGCACGCACAGCCTCAGCGTCTCCCCTGAAATAGCTCCTCATCCTTCTGCCCCCATCTCAGGGTGGCCTCACGGCTCCCCCATCCCCTGGCCAGAGCCGGGGGCCTGTCCCCGGACGCCTCCCTGCCTTGTCATCCTCTACCACCTGCCTACCAGGCCCGCTCTTCCCTCCTCACAGCCTGGCCCAGCCCTGTTCTCTCCCACCCAGGTTCCTGCCCTGGCTCCACCCTGTCCTCCTGGCATCCTCTTTCACACTCTACAACCTACTTCAGGACACACCAAAACATTTTTCTAAAATGCTAATTTAACCTTGCCTTCCCCTGCTCAACAGCCCTCCATGGCTCCCCATTGCTCAGGGTCAGGCATACAATGTACCAGCAAGGCAGCAAGGCCGGAGACATCTCCTGCCTCCTTTCTCATTTCACGGTGCCTCAAGCTGCAACCAGCAGTCCCCAAACTTCCCGCTTTTCAGACACCCTGGATGTCTGGGCTCATTCTCATCTCCATGCCCTGGCTCAGACTGCCCACTCTCTGGAACATTCTCCTTCTCGAGCCCTCTCTCCTGTTCCCAGGGCCCGGCTGGTGGAGAAGGCTCCTACCTTGGACCTGAGGGTATTTCAGCAGGAGCAGCAGGGTGTATCGGATCGTGGTGCTGACGGTCACTGTCCCGGCAAACAGCAGATACACGACCGTCATCAGCAGGTTCTCGTCGGTGAATTCTGTGTTTGGATCTTGCTTCTCCTGGGAAACACCAAGCAGAACTCAGACAACACAGGCTGCAGACAGTAGAGACCCAGCACAGCCACATTCAGGGTATAGTGCAGCAAGTTAAAAGCTTTGTCAGGGAGTTTAAATAAAATGTATGGGCAAGTCAGGTCTTGACATTAGTTCTGTTGGCTTGAAATGGTTTAAAAATGAAAGAGTGGCTACGATAAAAAAAAACCCAAACAGAAAATGACAAGTGTTGATGAGGATGTGGAGAAACTGGAAACCCTATCACCAAGGGAACATATGAAAGGGTGCAGTTGGGACTTCCCTGGTGGCCCAGTGGTTAAGAATCTGACTGTCAACGCAGCGGACACGGGTTTGATCCCTGGTCTGGGAAGATCCCACATGCTGCAGAGTAACTCTGCAGACTTTTTCAGTCTGTTTGCAACAACTTCTGAGCCCACACTCCTAAAGCCCATGCTCTGCAACAAGAGAAGCCACCGCAATGAGAAGCCCGTGTTCCACAAAGAAAGGTAGCCCCTGCACACCGCAACTAGAGAAAGCTCAAGTGCAGCAGTGAAGACCGAGCGCAGCCGGAAAAAAAAAAAAGCAGGGTGCAGCTATTACGGTAAATGGTATAGACTGCTGTACCTCAAAAGCTACAAACAGAATTACCGTGTGATCTAGCAATTCCACTTCTGGGGATTTATTGAAAAGAGAGAAAGCAAGAAGAAAAATAGAAAGCAGGATCTCGAAGGCCATTTGTACACCCATGTTCATCGCAGCATTATTCACACTAGCCAAAAGGTGGAAGTAATCGAAGTGTCCACTGATGGATGAATGGATAAAGAAAATGTGCTATATTCATACAATTCAGGCTTAATAAGGAGGGAAATCTTGTCATGAGGTACAGCAATAATGAATCCTGAGGACATTATGCTAAGTGAGATAAGCCACAAAAGGACAAATACTGGTGGCTCAGATGGTAAAGCATCCGCCTGCAATGTGGGAGACCTGGGTTCAATTCCTGGGTCAGGAAGATCCCCTGGAGAAGGGAATAGCTACCCACTCCAATATTTCTGCCTGGAGAACTGCATGGACAGAGGAGCCCTGCAGGCTATAGTCCATGGGGTCAGGAGTCAGACACAACTTAGCCACTAACACACACACACACACACACACACACACACACACACACACACACGAGGTGCCTAGAGTAGTCAAATTCATAGAGACAAAATGTAGAAGGGGGTGGCTGGGGGTTGGGGGAGGGAAGAAGGAGGAGCTGTCTTTTAATGAGTACAGAATTTCAGTTTTACTGGTTGAAAAGAGTTTTGGCGATGGGTGGTGATGACATAATATCGAACACTACTAAACTGTATACTTCATTTTTTTTTTTTGACCATGCCACACGGTTTGTGGGCTCCTAGTTCCCTGACCAGGAAGCGAACCCAGGCCCTTGGCAGCAAAAGCATGGAGTCCCAACAGCTGGACCACCAGAGAATTTCCAAATTTTTTACATTTTAATTTTTTGCAGAAGTCTAGTTGATGTATGCTTCCAGTATACAGCAGAGTTATACAGATTGTATACAGAATGTATAGAGATTCAGTTATACATAACTGAATCATACTATATATATTCTTTTTCAAACTCTTCCATTATAGGTTATTACAAGACATTAAATATACTTCCCTGTACTATACAGTAGGTCCTTGTTAATCCATTTTATATACAGCAGTATCTGTTCATCTCAAATATAATTAAATCTTTTTAATTAAAAAAATGAAAGCAAATGGGAATTCCCTGGCAGTTCAGTGGTTAGGGCTCCATACTTTCACTGCTGAGGGCCTGGGTTCAATTCCCGGTCAAGAATTAAGATCCCACAGACCATGCGGCATGGCCAAAAAAAAAGAAAAGGTAGGGCCACAGAATTAAGAAAAAAATTCCTCTCTGTCCATAAGCAGGGTGGCTGCATGTATTCAAAGACTGTGGCTCTGAGTATCTCCCCTACTTGCAAAGTGTGTACAGTTAAAAAGTAGTTCTTTCCACAGGAGTCATTGTAATGCAAATTTTCCCATATGCTAGTTGTTCTCACATAATTAATAAAGAGGACTTTATTAGTGTAGTTTGCTATTGCAAGGTTTTGTAAGTAAGCCATCGTAATTGATAGGAACTGTCCCGTGTGGGTGGGGGGAAGTGACAGTGAGGGTTGACAGCAGCAGGTCAGGGGGCTTGAGGCTTGGGCAGGGGGCTGAGGCTGGAGGGAGGAGAAGATGCAAGGGACTCAGACCCGCATTCACAGAGGGACGTGCAGGGAGAAACAGGGAGGGTGACAAAGCGTCCCAGCTACACCACCCAGGTGGGGGTTGGCCAGGAGGCCCCCCCAACCCTAACCTTCCCCACCTTTGCCATCTTCAGCAGAAAGGCGTCCACGAGATTGCGCTCGGGGCCTGAGGTGCCCAGGCTCCCCTTATGCTGTCGCACCTGCTGGGTGGCAAAGGCGGCCACGGTGCTCAAGTGGCCGAGGAGCTGCGTGTGGGGGCCTGGGAGGAGCTGTAGGAACCGGGAGAACATCTCGTAGGTCTGTGGGGAGAACGACAGCCGTTTTCAAGGGGGCCCTGCACCAGGGCGGAGGGGCAGGCGGACAGGGCGCTCTGGGGTTACCTGGAAGAGGCGGGCAGGAGCCTTTGGGGAAGGTGGCCAGAGAGGGGTCCCAGTCACTTACCTGGCCCCACGGGGAGCTGACCCCCATGGCGATGCCGCCAGCCGCCCGGACCACAGCCTGGAACTCCTCATTGTCGTAGGGGAGGCGGAGGTCGAAGACGAGGGAGCAGATGATGTTGCAGCTGGCCTGGGCCAGCAGCAGGGAGGGGTCAAACGGCCGTCCTGGGAAGGGGGGACAGCGGGGAGGCTGTGATGGAGACAGGCAGAGCGGAACTGACTTGGGCAGAGCTGGTCCACAGCGATGGAAGAGGGGCCCGCCACCACCGGGAAGAGACAGGCCCAGAGTGAGACAGAGACAGCAGAATGAGATAGAGAGAGACAGGGAGACAGAGTCGGCGAGAGATGCTGAGAGAGATAGACTGGGAAAGGGAGTTAGACTTGGGGTCTTCCCTGGGGGTCCAGTGGCTGAGATTCTGCACTCTCACTGCAGGGGGCGAGGGTTCAATCCCTGATCAGAGAACTAGATCCCACGTGCCACTCGGCTTGGCTTGGCCAGGGGGAAAAAGAGAGAGAGTTAGAGAGAGATAGACTTACAGGAGAGAATAACAAAAACAGAGAAAGGTGGCCCAGTGGTAAAGAATCCACCTGCCAGGGCGGGAGATGAAGGAGATGCGGGTTTGATCCCTGGGTCGGGAAGATCTATTAGAGGAGGACATGGCAAACTGCTCCAGTATTCTTGCCTGGAGAATCCCATGGATGGAGGAGTCTGCTGGGCTATAGTCCATGGGGTCACAAAGAGTCCGACATGATTGAGCGACTGAGCACGCACAGAGAAAAAGAAGAGGCAGAAAGAGTGATGTGACAGTACCAGGGACACAGGCCCTCAGGGAGACAGCAGGACGGACGGAAGGTGGAGGAAGAAAGAGGTGAAGTAAACAGAGTCCCCAGCCTGGCCCCCGAGGGAAGAAGTTCATGCTATAGGCAGGCCACCCTGCTGACCTTTTGTCCCCTGGAGCGCCTTCACCAGACATCGGGCCTCCGCCTGGATCAGCTCCTCGCCTTTTCGCTTCCCCATGCCCAGGTCCCGCAGGGCCAGTGTGGTGAACTTCCTCAGCTGCCTCCATCGCTCCCCATTGGAGAAGAACACGCCTACACAGAGGGCTAGGCTCAAGGAGGGACCGGCCCTCCCCCTGATCCCCAGGACTCCTCCCTTCCTCCCAGGGAGGTGTCCTGTCCTGAGTCCATATGAGCCTAGTCCAGGCAGGAGGACTCAGGAGGTGCTCCATCAGTGCCTAACCTTGCGTCAGAGGCTGACCTCCTGGGGAATCATTAATGAGGATTATCCAGACTCCTTGTGTCTGGATAATTCACCAAGGTGAATGAAGATGTCTTCCTTTTTTCTGTCTATCCATCTTTTTATTCCTCTATTCACCCACCCTCCCATTTATCCTTCCTTCCTCTTCCTCTTTCTCCCTCCCTCCCACCCTTCTATCCATCCATCTTAACATTTATGTAGGTCTTCTCAGCTGGCCCTAGCGGTAAAGAACCTGTCTGCTAATCCAGGACATATAAGAGAGGCGGGTTCGATCCCTGGGTTGGGAAGATTCCCTGGAGAAGAAAATGGCAATTCACTCCAGTATTCTTTCCTGGAGAATCCCATGGACAGAGGACAGAGGAGCCTGGCGGGCTACAGTCTATAGGGCTCCAAAGAGTGGGACATGACTGAAGTGACTTAGCATGCATGCACGCATTGGGTCCCAGGCCCCAATGCCCCAAACAGGGAAGGATGAGGAAGGAATTGCACTGTTTTCTTCTTTATCCAAGAGATTTGCTTTGGATAGACCCTTCCCTGTTCTGAGCTGTTTCCACTTGTAGAATGCCAGCCCACGGTGGCCTCCTGGATGCCTCCTTCTGGATGTCCCCTGCCCACCCATCCCTCCACTAGGGCCCCACACTGGCCTCAGCATCTCTCCTTGGCTCAACCACCGAGCATCCCATTCCCTGCCCAGAGTCCTGCATTCCTCTCCTGATCACTTCCCCTCCCCACTCCACGGCCCCAGCCCTGGTCCAGCCCTGGTCCAGCCCAAGCCCCTCTCTGGACTCCCACACAGGAACCAGAGGACATTTCTAACTCTGACTCTACTCTTTTCCAGGAAAACCCAAAGTCTGGCTTGACTCAGGCTCTGCATGATCAGGCTCTGCAGACTTCTCCAGCTTTGTTCCTCATGCCTTTTCTCACTTCCTCAAAGGTGTCAGCATGTCCCCTCTGCCTCTGGCCCTGCTGTTCCCTCTGCCTGGACCACTCACCTCTTCCTCCTCACTGAACTAACTCCACTCAGCCTTGAGGTCTCAGCTTAAATGTCACCTGCTCTAGGAAGCCTTCCCTGATTGCTTCCATTCTCCCCTCAACTCCTTCTGCTCCTGTGGCCAGTAAAGGCCCCCTTTGTCCTGCTTTCAGGAGTGTGCATGCATGCTCAGTCATGTTTGACTCTTTGCAACCCCATGGACTGTAGCCCTACAGGCTCCTCTGTCCATGAAATTTTCCAGGCAAGAATACTGGGTTGCCATTTCCTCCGCCAGGGCATCTTCCCAACCCAGGAGTCGAACCCGAGTCTCTGGTGTCTCCTGTATTGGCAGGGGGGTTCTTTACCACTAGTGCCACCTGGCTTTAGAAATCTAGTCTCTCCCTCCATTGTCTTCTCACACTGCTCATCACTCCCACAGTAAAACATGTCATTACATTTGTTACTGCTGTGTTCCCAGTACCCAGCCAGGTGTAATTAAAATTTGTCAGTTGATGAATGCTTGCTTATCTCACCCCTGTGCTTTTGTAGGTGCTGGTCGCTCTGCCTGGAAAACCATTCCCCTAATCCTATGAGTCTCAGCTCAGACTCCCCATCTTTCAGGAAGACCTCCTGGAGAGGCTGGGCCAGGCACCTCCTCCAATTCCACCAGTCCCAGGGCTTCCCGCAGGCCAGCCCTGACCTGTCTGGACTGTCACTATCTGGTGACAGGTCTGTCTCCTGACCTGTGCGCTCTGGGAGAGCAGGGCTGAGGCTGTTTATTCACCGCTGTGTTCCCTGGAGCACCCAGCACTGGCCTCCTGCTTTCAATCTTAACACAGAGACTCGTTTGTACATTTTGAGTGTTTGCCCACTAACTCCCAGTGTCTCAAACGCTCTCCCTTTTCCTCCCAACCCTGCGGCTTCCCCTGGAGCAGTAATAACTCTATTACAACCAGATAACTAATGAGTGCTGATTTTGAGCAACCTTCAGTACCTTTAGGTAACAGGCACTGTTATCATCCCATTTTACAAATGAGGAAACAGAGGCCCAGAGACCCTGAACCATGCACAGAAGGTCACAGGACAATAAATGGTGGCAGGCTCTGAGTGAAGGGACCCAGCAGCCTCCAGCTCCCCTTGTGACTCACCGTGGCTATTGAAGGTCCCATCCAGCGTTGCCACCATCCCCCGCCCGCTGAACTCCTCGGCCTGGCCTCCCAGGGCCTCCTGCACAGCCTCGTGCCCGACCAGGACCACCACGCGCCGCCAGGGTCCCAGGTACACGGTGAACACCGGTCCGTACTTCTTACTCAGCTGGGAGCAGGGAGCAAGACGTGTGAGTGATGGGGGGGGGGGCAGGCTGCTGCCTCTCAAAGTCTATGTGTCTCCATCGTGGCCCCTTGTCCCTGGATGAACCACCTAGGAGGACCCCTTCTGCTTCTGCCTCACCGCAAATGGAAATAGTCCCTTTGGGAGATCCAGTTCTTGTTTTGTACCAGGCCCCCAGGCCCCTGCCCCCCAAAGCTCTCCTTCTCCAACTCTGTCACCCAACACACGCTCTGGTCCCCATCCCCTTACCCTGCAGAGCCCTAACTTCTGATGCCAGGACGACCTAAGACCCACCATTACTCCCACAACTCAGACATATAGCAGCAAAAATGGGCACGGGATGATAACGGTGGGTTTCCTTAATCCCCACCCCCTCACCAAAAAACTAACCACCCCTTTGAGTCACTGCTAAATCCTCAAATTCTGGGAGCAGATATCACCAAGCACCAGCACTATCTCTTTCCAAACAAGACCGCTACCCACCTTGCCTTGTATGGAGGACCCCAGAATGGGGAACCTCTGGCCTTTCTTCACTTCCCCCCGACCCTGAAAAGGTTGGGGCCACTTCAGCCTTCTTTCTCTCCCTCTTTTCTCCTTCCCAGGAGCCTCCGGCTCCCTCCTAGCTGAGTTCCACGTACCCCCGCCCCCAGGCCCATATCCCCATCAGTCTGGGCAGACAGATTCCTGGAATCCTCCAGCCTCGGCCTCCACCTCCAACTCCCCGGCATGAGGGGCGGTGTGGGTGGGGTGGAACACCTTCTTTTTACCCTCTGCTCCCTCCTCAGGAGACTCACCTGTATCTCCCCGCTACCTCTCCCAGTGGGACAAGCCACCACGGTCTCTTCTGCTTGAGGACTCTTGTCTCAGCCCCGGTTCCCTGCACCCCGCTCCAACCTTCCTAGGATCTTCCCAGTCTCTCTAACCCGGGACCCCTGCCACTCTGGGCCCTGCTTCCGACCCCTCACACCCTCTCCAGGATTCTCTGCCTCTCCTAGCGCCATCCCCACCCTAGCCTCCTTTCTCACCATCACTCCCTCAACTCTCTCAGCCCGGGACCCCTACGCCCACCCCATCCCGGGGCATCCGTAGCCCCTTCGCCTGCATCCTCTAGGATACCCGAGGGCCTCTCTGCGTGGTCTCCCGTCTTGGGGTCCCCTCGCGCCTCCTGGCACCCCTCCCAGCCCTTCTCCTCTGGCCGGGACGTCCGCGCGGCCGCTCACCCGCAGGAGCCCCATGTAGAGCGCCCCCGGCCGGAGCTGCAGGAGGTTCCCCAGCAGCGGCAGCGGCGTGGGCCCCGGGGGCAGGTGGCCTCGGGCCCGGGTCGCAGGCAGCACCAGCGTCACCACCAGGAGCAGCAGCAGCAGCAGCAGCAGCAGCGCCCAGGTGCCCGCCGCCTCCATCTCTGCAGGTCGGCGGCTTCTCCGGTTCTCAGACGCCCCACGCGGCCTGGCCCGTCGGGGGCGGGTGCGGGGCGGCTCCCTCCTTCCCCGCTGGAATCCAGCCGAGAGAGGCGGGGCCGGAGACTCTCCCGTTGAGTGCGGGGGATTCTCTCCCCGCCGCCGGATTTCTTTCTCCCAGACGACCGCCGCCGCCTGGTGTAGGGGACACACACTCCCCAACGGTAGTCTCCCAGGTCCCCCAGGTTCGAGGTGGCGGAGACCGCTCCCCGCGCCCCAGGTAGGGCGTGGACCCACGGGAGGAACCTGCAAGCCGGAGACTTTGGCCGCCTCCTGGAGGCCACACCCCAGTGCCTGGCGGCGACCCCACGCCGCCCTCCCCAGCTCCTGCCTCTTTCCTCACTGTAATCTGGGTGTGTGTGCTCGTGTGCGGGCGTGTGTGGTGGGTCTGAGCCTGTTTCCTCCAGCATCTTACATCTTCACCATGAACTAGGAGAGGGGACGGGACCTTTAACAATGTGTAAATACATAATCAACAAGGACCTACTGTATAGCACAGGCAACTATGCTCAGTATCTTTTAATAACCTGTAATGGAAAGGAATCTGAAAAAGAAAAAAAAAATACTCGTGTACATATATATTTCGGCTTCTCTGGTGGCTCAGCCAGTAAATATTCCGCCTGCAAGGAGAGCTCAGGGAGACCTGGGTTCGATCCCTGGGGCGGGAGGAGGGCATGGCAACACACTCCAGTAATCTTGCCTGGGAAATCCCATGGACAGAGGAGACTGATGGGCTACAGTCCAAAGGGTTGCAAAGAGTCGACACAACTGAGCGGCTAAGACAGCACGGCACCCACCCACTCCCCCTGACACAATATATATGTACTTATATATACGTTGTTGTTCAATCCATAAGTCGGGTCCAAATCGTTGTGACCTCAGGGACTGCAGCACGTCTGGAGTTTGCTCAAAACCATGTCCATTGAGTCGCTGATGCTATCTAACCATCTCATCCCCTGCTCCAGCTTCTCCTCTTGCCTTCAGTCTTTCCCAGCATCAAGGTATTTTCTAATGAGTTGGCTCTGCATCAGATGGCCAAAGTTTTGAAGCTTTAGCTTCAGCATCAGTCCTTCCAATGAATATTCAGGGTTGGTTTCCTTTAGGATTGACTGGTTTGATCTCCTTGCTGTTCAAGGGACTCGAAGGAGTCTTCTCCAACACCATAGTTTGAAAGCATCAATTCTTCGACTCTCTGCCTTCTTTACAGTCCAGCTCTCACAACCATATGTGACCACTGGGAAGATCATAGCCTTGACTACATGGACCTTTGTTGGCAGAGTAAAGTCTCTGTTTTTCAACACACTGTCTAGGTTTGTCATAGCTTTCCTGCCAAGAAGCAAGTCACATATACACATATATATGTGTATATATTTATATATATAAAATAGGTAATCAACAGGGACCTACTGTATATCACTGGGAGCTATACTCAATATCTTGTAATAAGCTGTAATGGAAAAGAATCTGAAAAAGGAAATATATATACATGTGTACCTATATATATTATACACTTATATATACATATGTAATGTATATATAAATATATATATGTGTATATATAGACACATGTATATCTACGTATATTAATTATACACATATATATGTATGTAAATGGACATGTGTAACTGAATCACTGCTGTACACCTTAAATTAACAGGACATTGTAAATCAACCATACTTCAATAAAAATTAATTAGTTAACAAAACAAAACAAAACAAAAAAATAAAGAATCTAGTTCAGAGAGCCTTAGGCCACACAGCTAACAAAGGGGCTCAACTAGAATTTGAACTCAGGCCAGTCTGAATGATTGACTAAACCATTCATTCACTTCGCAGTATAGCACAGTGGTTAGAACCATGATGTCTAAAGCCAGACTACTTGAGTTCACAGCCTAACTTCTCTGTGACTCTGTTAACTCATCTGTAAAATGGGGATCTGTTTTAGAATTAAACAGGTAAGTGTGGGAATTCCCTGGTAGTCCAGTGGTGAGGACTCTGGGCTCTCACTGCCAAGGGCCCCTGTTCAATCCCTGTTCGGGGAAATAAGATCTCACAAATAAGAGGCCAAACATAAAAGAATATAAATAGATAGGTATGTGTGTGAAAAAGTGAAAGTGAAGTCGCTCAGTTGTGTCCAACTCTTTGTGACCCCATGGACTGTAGCCTGCAAGGCTACTCTGTCCATGAGATTTTCCAGGCAAGAATACTGGAGTGGGTTGCCATTTCCTTCTCCAGGGGATCCTCCTGACCCAGGGATCGAACCCGGGTGTCCCACACTCTTTACCATCTGAGCCACCAGGTTGTGTACATAGCTTAAAACAGGGCCAGGTGCATATATAACAAATATTAAATGCAAAGCTAATATTCCTCTGACTAATTCTTACTGCGGTCTAATTGTAAATAAGACTTTGCCGGTGCAGCTATGAGTAACAGAGAGGAACTTGCCCTCTCAGAGCACTTACCCCTGTGTAAATAAACTCCCAAATCAAGACAATTTAAAGAATCTCAGAGGCCGGCCAAGGGAATGGGCTCTTCCAGGCAGAAGAGAGTTACAGTGTCAGATCCATGATGTACCCCAGCATCTGGGGCAGGGCCTGGCATACAGTAGATGCTCAATAAGTGTCTGTTGCATTGCAGATTGAATGTAGGGGATGAGGATGTTGAGGTCGACAGGGATGTCATGGAAAAGATTTTCGGTTTTATTTCTAATGAAAGGGGAAGCAGTGGAAGGGTTTCTAGCAGGAAGTTATTCTGTTTGCTTTGCATTTTCATTTAGCGTTTTATTAAGAAAACTTTAAAACATACATTAGACATCAGTATATTCACCACCTAGCTTCCACTGATAACATTTTAACTATCCTTGCTTTGTTATGTATCTATTCATCTTGTCTCATCAATTCATCTTTTTTTTTTATGCATTTCAAAGACAGTTGCAGACACCAGTATCTTTCACTCCTAAACACATCTGCATGCATATCATAACTAGCATGCATCTACCATGCTAGAGTTAATATTGGTTTACAGGTCATTCCTTGCCACTTCCCAGGTAAATCTATACACAATGAAATGCACAAATTTCCACACATGAGTAATCCTCCATGTGACCCCCAAATCCTATGGGGATATAGAGAGTTACCAACATCCCAGAAACCACCAGGCCTTTTCCCATCAGCCCCTCAAACATTCATCTTCTCTTTGCATTTTTTTCTTATTTCTTAAAAAAGATTTATGTATTTATTTTACTTTTTGGCTGTGGAGGGTCTTTCGCGAGCTTTCCCTAGTTGCAGTGACCCGGGGCTATTCTCTAGTTGTGGTGTGTGGGCTTCTTATTGCAGTGGCTTCTTTTATTGCAGAGCAAGGGCTCCAGGGTGCATGGGACTCAGTAGGTGCAGCACGAGGGTTTGGTATTTGAGGCTCGTGGGCTCTAGGGTTCTGGCTCTGTAGTTTGGCACACGGGCTTAGTTGCTCTGCGGCACGTGGGCTCTTCCCTGATCAGGGATCAAATCAGTGTCCCTTGCATTGCAAGGTCACTCTCAGTGAAAAGTGCAGAGTCATAACCATCAGGGAATTCCCCTCTTTTTGCATTTCCAAAGGTCTTTCTGTCTGCCTTTAGAAGAAGGATCTGTTGGGGGGTGGGGAGCAGGGGAAGAAAAAGCTGGGAGCCCAATGCAATCAAGGTCCAGGCAAGTGATGCTCATGACTGGGAGCAGAGTGGGTACCAATGAGAAGAGAAAGAAGTGGATTTATTTGGAATGTATTAATACTTGGAGGTAGAGTCAGCAGGGTTTCCTGACAAATTTGGTTTGAAGGCGAAGGAATACAGGTTGTTTCTGTCACGTACTAGCAATTCTGGAGAGTGAGGAGAGACTTTTTATTCCAAAAAACTGTTGCAGTAGAGGGGACAGAGTTTATTGCAAAGATAGTGAGCAACCCCAGAATGTGATAACACAGAAAAATGTATTTTCTACTGAAACCAATGCTTTCCCTAATCTCAGTTTGTTTTCTTCCTCAGCAAGTGGAAACTTGACACTTTCCTTTTACAGAGGTGAGGAAGGAGATGGGGACAAATAGAGGTGGAAAACTGGTGAAGCAAGTTTTACTGGAGGTAGGGGAAATCAGGAATTCTCCTTCGGTCCCGAGAAGTTTAAGATAGCTGTTAGCTATCCCAGGAGAAGAGCCAAGTGGACAGGCAGGTTAGACGTTGGACTTGGGACCTCCCAGGACCCTCTGGAGCAGGGCAAATGAGAAGCTTAAGGATTCACACCCCCTTCATAGTAACAAAGTATAGGCCAGCCTTTTCACATCTCTCTCTGGTTTCAGGAGACACCTTTGGGTGTCAGAGGCTAGAATCAAGACTGTAGAGAACATTTTGGCCTTTTTTTTTTTTGCTGCACCTTGGCATGTGGAACTTTCCCAGAACCAGGGATCGAACCCACAGTGGAAGCATGGGTTCTTAGCAATTGGACCACCAGGGAAATCCTAGCCATGTTTTGAGAGAAAGGGCTCTGGCCTAGAATAGAAATTTCAAGATTGCGGAGGTCTAAGAATCTAATCATGTTTTAAGATGAACTTGACTGCAAAACCCTATAGATAAGTTCACACGATTCTAAAGATTTCAAGACAAGACTTTCCACCACCTTGGTAATTAAGTTCAAGTCCCTCGTGGTGGCCACCAGGGCCCTTTTGGGGGATCTGTCCTCTGGCTGCTGTTTGACGTCATCTGGGCCCACTCTGTTCTGTGCTCAGAATGGTCCACTCATCCTGAGCACTGGCCTTCTTTCAGTGTTTTAAACAGCAAGCTGGCCTCAGGGCCTTTGCACTAGCTCTCTGTCTGAAATGCTTGGCCTAGAGATTGAGACTGGCTCGTTTTCTGTTCTCAGCTGAAATGCCAGTCCCTCTGGAAGAGACTGTCATTGATGACACAAGCAGAATTCCCTTCGTCC